CTGAAATTTCTATTTTTAGTATCCACGACAACACTGTTAATTGAAATCTAAAACCGATACACAGAATTATGTATCTAAGTGTAGTCTTCTTGTGTGCCAGGTTATATTGAAATCAGACCAAAACTGTAGGGGGAGTAGCATTTTAAATGAATTTTGCAGAAATTTCTATTTTTAGTAACAACGGCAACAACGTTCATCGAAATCAAAAACCGATATACAGAATTATGTAACTTAGTGTATTCTACTTGTGTGCCAAGTTATACTGAAATCAGACCAGAACTGTAGGAGGAGTAGCATTTTGAAAGAATTTCACAGAAATTTCTATTTTTAGTAACCAAGGCAACACCGTTCATTGAAATCAAAAATTGATACACAGAGTTATGTATCTTACTGTATTCTACTTGTTTGCCAAGTTAAACTGAAATCAGATCAAAACTGTAGGAGAAGTAGCATTTTGAAAGAATTTCACAGAAATTTCTATTTTTAGTAACCACGGCAACACCGTTCATCGAAATCAAAAACCGATACACAGAATTATGAATCTTAGTGTAGTCTACTTGTGTGCCAAGTTATACTGAAATCAGACCAAAACTGTAGGAGGAGTAGCATTTTGAAAGAATTTCACAGAAATTTCTATTTTTAGTAACCACGGCAACACCGTTCATCGAAATCAAAAACCGATACACAGAATTATGTATCTTAGTGTAGTCTACTTGTGTGCCAAGTTATACTGAAATCAAACCAAAACTGTAGGAGGAGTAGCATTTTGAAAGAATTTCACAGAAATTTCTATTTTTAGTAACCACGGCAACACCGTTCATCGAAATCAAAAACCGATACACAGAATTATGTATCTTAGTGAAGTCTACTTGTGTGCCAAGTTATATTGAAATTAGACCAAAACTGTAGGAGGAGTAGCATTTTGAAAAATTGTTTACAGACAGACGGACAGACAGACGGACAGACGGACGGACGCCGGACGCATTACTATCGCATAAGCTCTTCTGGTCTCTGACCAGTAGAGCTAAAAAATAAAAAAAAAAATAACATGAGTTGCCATAAAAGATCTTTGTACATAGTAGCTTATACAGGTTAAACAGGGAAGATTTCCTCAGCAAATTTGATTTGAAAATATTTTTTCTGACAATGTAAAAGATTTAACTAATTCTATTGAGAGCTTTCTTAAGACTAGCTTTATTGGTGTGTACTTGATGTATCGCAGATGGAGGGACAGAGTAACACAATTGTGAGTTTTAGATGGGACATCGGTTACTTTTCATATATAATCAATCATTGGTTTGAATCGGTTACTGCTTAGTGCTTATGATGTGATTTTACCAATTACATATATAATCAGATGTCATATTATGTATATAACTAGAAGTCTCTGATGAGACTGTAGCTCTACTGGTCTGTATGTACATGTATAACAAAAGAAAAGTAGCACTTGGATTTGAAACTTTACAACAAGCATAAATAGAATTATGTACCTTTATGTAGTCTACTTGTGTGTCAAGTTATATTGAAATCAAACCAAAACTGTAGGAGGAGTAGGGTTTTGAAAATATTTCTGTGAAGTTTCTATTTTTAGTAGCCATGGCAACCACATTCACCTCAACAAAACCATTTTGTCATGATTTATCTAAACCAATTTCATGAATGATGATGGGTAGCAGCATTTACTTAATATAAGTGATGTGTACTACGTCAGTAAATCACATTTTGCTATATGAAAAATATCTTGATTCTAGCATGGAAATGACAATTATATGAATTAGGCCTTTCAACTAATTTTTCAAGTTGCACATATGGTAACAAGAGGCCTAGGGGCCACATCGCTCACCTGAGCAATTGGCTAGGAAAAAGCACACATCAGATCAGAACTGAAAGTTTACTGGGGGGGGGGGGGGGAGGCTTGGGGGGTCATGATTTGAACAAACTTAAATCTACACTACCTGAGGACGATTCCCTATAAATATCACTAAGCATGGCTTTAAAGTACTTGAAAAGAAGATTTTAAAAGGTTCCCCTAGATATTCCTATGTAAAACTTTTATTGGCCATTTGGCCCCACCCTACCACCAGGGGTTTTGATTTGAACAAACTTGAATCTACACTACCTGGGGATGATTCCACAGGAGTTTCATCTTTCCTGCCTCAATGGCTATTAAGGAGATTTTTCCTATATAATCCTATGTAAAACTTTGATCGGCCATTTTGGCCCAACCCTACCCCCAGTGGTCATGATTTGAACAAACATGAATCTACACTACCTGAGGATGATTCCATATGAGTTTCATTTTTCATGGCCCAGTGGTTCTTGAGAAGCAAATTTTTAAAGATTTTTCCTATATATTCCTATGTAAACTTTGATCGGCCATTTTGGCCCCACCCTACCCCCGGGGGTCATGATTTGAACAAATTTGAATCTACACTACCTGAGGATGATTCTGTATGAGTTTCATCTTTCCTGGCCCAGTGGTTCTTGAGAAGGAGATTTTTAAAGATTTTTCCTATATATTCCTATGTAAAACTTTGATCGGCCATTTTGGCCCCACCCTACCCGCAGGGGTCATGATTTGAACAAACTTGAATCTACACTATCTGGGGATGATTCCATATGAGTTTCATCTTTCCTGGTCCAGTGGTTCTTGAGAAGAAGATTTTTAAAGATATTTCCTATATATTCCTATGTAAACTTTGATCGGCCATTTTGGCCCCACCCTACCCCCGGGGGTCATGATTTGAACAAACTTGAATCTACACTGCCTGAGGATGATTCCATATGAGTTTCATCTCTCCTGACCCAGTGGTTCTTGAGAAGAAGAATTTTAAAGATTTTTCCTATATATTCCTATGTAAAACTTTGATCGGCCACTTTGGCCCCACCCTACCCCTGGGGGTCATGATTTGTACAAACTTGAATCTACACTACCTGAGGATGATTCCACATGAGTTTCATCTTTCTGGGAGTAGTGGTTCTTGAGAAGAAGATTTTTTAAAAAAGCCATTTATTTTTCTCTAATTCATAATTATCTCCCCCTGGAAAAGGGCGTGGCCCTTCATTTGAACAAACTTGAATCCCCTTTACCCAAGGATACTTTGTAGCAAGTTTGGTTGAAATTGGCCCAGTGGTTCTTGAGAAGAAGATGAAAATGTGAAAAGTTTACGCCAACGACGACGACGCCAACGACGACAACGACAGACAACGGACAAATTTTGATCAGAAAAGCTCACTTGAGCCTTTGGCTCAGGTGAGCTAAAAAACATTCTATAGATAGATTTATAGGTACATGAAATTATCAAAAAAGATAATAACTTATGCATACTTTTAATTACATCATAAAAAGGTTTAATCATTTTTAATTGACTTTTCCGATGTTGTGTTTAAGGACAGGTAACTCAGGTGTGAAAAATGACCAACTTAGTGCCGATTTATGACTTATCATTTATAGGAATGACATATAGGCTGCTTTGGTATTGTTATATACACAAAAGGGTTCCTTATATTTTTTTGTACACAAAAAGTTTTGACCAAGAAAAAGAGAATGTCTCCACTCTTCCTGAAATAACAGGGTCAAATGAATGGGGAACAGACTATATTCAATAGTTTTAACTCTCTTTGACGATTATTATGAAGAAGAAAATTTAATGTCATGTTTTTTGTGTTCGCGCTTTTTCGCTTCCTGTGTAAATATATATATTTTTACAAGTAAATGCAACAATTGATCATCTTATTTGTGTTACTAAGCACGAAGGGGAACGACCGAGTATAAAAATTTAATTAGGTTAGAACTGAGAAGGAGGGTAGATTTCACTTTTTATTTTAATTAAAAATTTTAATTATATGCAGTAAATCGGTGTCCGCAACTATACAGTAAATAAGTTTAACATTGGTGCTAAATTTTAAAACCACTGGATTCTACTGCGAGCAAAGAAACACTTGGGAAATGCTAAAAACTGCCTTGCGTGCAAACAGTTACACACCCCGAGCCTGCTCTAAACAAGTTTCAGCAGTGTGTTATCGTTCATAACACCGACCCCTAGCAGCAGTTGAAAGGCCTATATGAATTTCCTTCACTACAATAAATACATGTATATTCAAATTCAAGACCTTATTAATTGTTAAGTTTGTATTTGTTATGAGAAGATACATATTATCAAATCATGTTGCATTTTTCTTTGTCATTTTTTCATAATTGACCTGAGTAAACATAATTAAGAGATAAGACTAAGACCTCTGATCACTTTGGCCACCCAATATTTTCCTGCTGTTTCCAAGATCCACCCCTCTGTTTTATCTGCAATCAGGAAGCTATTATGATGTCCCCATTTCTGTGTCTCCTCACACCCTGCTCCTCCCTGGCCATACTGAGACAGGAGTTTAGTGATTACCAATACTGCATCGTGGGCTGTATTAGCTCTCTCTAATGCAAGCCTAAAGAAACCAGTATTTATTATATGTTAACTTCAATTACTATTAGTAACGCATAAAAAAATTATTACAGTAAGAAAAACAGTAAGTAAAAACATGGTTATGACAAACAGACATAATAAATTCAAACTTTCAAGGAAGTGATTCTCATCCCATGTAAATCTAAATCATAAACTTTTATATTCATATCTAGTGAATAATATTTTTAAAAAAATCAAAGTAGTTGTCCCTGTCACATTGCTTTAAGCATTTTTAGTTACCTTGAGTGAAGGATAAACTTCCAACATTTTTCCTTTAGAAATTTAAAAGTTATCAACTGGTCATAAATTATTTATTTTAGTTAGTAATCTTTGACTTGCTCTAATGATGTAGGTTCAAAGCCTTGTCATACTTTTAATGAGAAATTCAAAAGAGGCCTATGGACCACGATCCTCACTTATTTTGGCCCGATCCACTTTGATTCCACTTTTCACTTAGCTGTTTGCATATTGATATCATAAATCATGGCTCTGTTTTTTATGCTTTAAACTTTATCCAATCTACTGAACCTAATGTTTTTGTTTGGAATAATTAAGGGAAATGTTTGTAAAATGCTTTTATGCCGGGCGCACCCCTCCCCTCCAAATAATTGGAATCTTTTTCAAAGTCCAAGGGGCATAACTCTGTCAAAAAGGGCCCGATTGTACCCAAAACAGATCTTGACCTAGATATGCTTATGATTAATCTGTAAACCAAATTTCATTTGAATATGTGCAACCTCTGTGAAGAAAATGAACAGAAACTGCAAATAATTGGAATTTTTCTAAGTCCAAGGGGCATAACTCTAACAAAAAAGTCTAGATTGTACCCAAAACAGAACTTACATAGATATTCTTATGATAAATCTGTATACCAAATTTTGTTTCAATATGTGCAATCACTGCAAAGAAAATGAACAGAAATCAATGAAAGACCGACAGACCAACCGATCAACTGATGGACAGCAGCAAAGCAATATGCCTTCCCTTCTTCGAAAGAGGCATAATAAAACCTTAAATTTACTATACAAGAGATCAAAAATATATAATAAATTGAGCTAGAAAAAAACCCACATACCATGATTCTATATATCCCTCCCCCAAAAAATTAGATAAAATACAAACAGGTCAGTCACTCTTTTTTTTTTTTTAATTTAAGAAGTTGCCCTTACATTAAAGATGACACTCTCACCTTGCCAGGTCCTGACCAAGTAATCGCTCCTCAAGGTCACCTGGCCCATTCACTTTAGTCCAGATGGGAGCCATAGCAACAGACACTCCTTGGTTGTTGGAGCCCATTTCTGCCCCCCACATCCACGCAGGCTTACTGAGGATTACAGCATTTGTCCTCTCCACCTCATCTACCTCAATGTATGTGCACTGTTTAAAAAAAAGAAACAATCAATTAAATAATGAAAGTAAGTCAAAAACATACAAGTGCTCATTTTTTATGGGTGGTCACTCATGGACCAGGTCTGAGGTCCTTATTTCATCATGTTGACCTTCCCTGTCATTTTTACAATTAATTTGTCTATTACAGACTATTTGTAAATATTAAACCAACACTATCACCATTAAACAACAATCTTTTGCATTGTAAACGTTTACATAGTACAATAAATACTGTACTCCATATTTATCCAATGTATTTGATTTCAAAATAAATATCGTATAAGCAGAATTTTTAGTGAGGATTTAATTTCGGCATTATTAGCTAGGGCACCGAAATCGCTAAAATTGAATATCGCTGAAAAATAATTGTGTTATATTTGTAATAGATTCTTAAGGGAACATTTTAAAATCGCTAAAATTACATCTCACTAAAAATAAAATACCAGTTTTTGAGGACAAATCGCTAAATTTGCGTCTCGCTAAAATTTCCACTTATACGGTATACTGAAAGGAAAATGAAATGCAGGGTAACTTATAATATGCAAATTTTTTTTGACCACATGACCAAAAAATGCGAAAACTGGTCAGATGAGAATCTTGGTTACTATGCACTATATCTGTGCTCAGAATTGCTCAACCATTAAATGTATGATGTCACGTAGGAAAAGTGCTTAAAAGCCAAAAACAAGTGCAACTTCATGACGACAAGTTTGTCAACGATCTTCTTGAACTTCAACTGATGCACTAGAGGTATACCGGTATACACATTGATTTTCAGTATTCGTAGACGAAATGCATTTCTTTCAATCTTGTAACAGTTGACAGAAGTTCCATGGGGTCTGGCTTTTATGTTGCCTTACAAAGGCAACAACGGGTTGATGTGCAGTTTCTTGTAAATTTTGCTCTATAGAACGTGTTACTAGTTGTCAGAGGGCCTGGAATGGTTTCCAACCAACCGTGTTACCGTGATGATGACATTAACATGAAACAGAGTCACGATTCGATCGGGTTATTCATCCTGCCACCAGTTCAATCGCCACTTACTACCACAAAACCACTATTAATTAATACAGTAGACTAACCTAATCATTATATTCATCCCAAAACTGAAAAAAAACAATTGCACAATTTGGTTTTCTGAGTCGGTCAACTTTTACAATTGTGTTCCTCTAACTGGTGCATGCGCGTTTCATTTGTGGGCCCACCCTGCCCTTGGGTGATTATGATTAAACTAATTAGAATCTACACTACCCCAGGATGCTTACACATAAGTTTCAGCTTTTCTGGCCCTGTGGTCCTTCAGACGAAGATTAAAAAAAACAATTTTTTCCTATATTTTACTATGAAAAACTTGGATTCCCTATTGTGGCCCCACCCTAACTTCAGGGGTCATGATTTGTGTAATTTGAATTGAAATCTACAATATCCCAAGATGCTCCCATATAAGCTTCAGCCTTTTTGGTCTAGGGGTTCTTAAGAAGATTTTTTTAATGACCCCACCCAATTTATCTTTTCTTGATTCTATCCTTCTAAACAACAGGCGCTTGACGTTTTTATCCTTTCTTTTCATAAATAAAAATATCCCTATATCTAAACTACAGGCACTTGATGTTTGTAACCTTTCTTTTCAGAAATAAAAATATATCCCCTTTACCTGTATACTATAATAATAATTATAGTATGGGGGATATTTTCATCTATGAAAAGAAAGGTTAAGAACATCAAGTGCCTGTGTTCTAAACAGTACATTTACATGTGTGTGACCTCTACACATTTTTCCTGAACTTTTGCAGCATATGTGTTTATATTAGCTGGCCTATAAATCATGTCTATATTAACATTTATACATTTTTCCTGAACTTTTGTAGCATTTGTGTTTATTTTAGCTGGCCTGTAGATCATGTCTGTATTAACCTTTACAAATTGTTCCTGAACTTTTGTAGCATATGTGTTTATTTCAGCTGGCCTGTAAATCATGTCTGTATTGACCTTTACACATTTTAACCTGAACTTTTGCAGCATTTGTGTTTATTTTAGCTGGCCTGTAAATCACTTCTGTATTGACCTTTACACATTTTACCTGAACTTTTGCAGCATTTGTGTTTATTTTAGCTGGCCTGTAAATCACTTCTGTATTGACCTTTACACATTTACTGTAACTTTTGTGGCATTTGTGTTTCTTTTAGCTGGCCTGTACATCACTTCCTGTGCTTCTGTAGCTGGTCTCTGAGAATTTTTCCCCCAGAATGACAGCTTTGTCCCTTGTCACTGGTGGTAGGACCAAAAAAAAATCAGCCATAAT